AAATTACATTTTGTTGGTAGTTTCAGCAGGATTTGTGTCCCGTGGATAGCCTTTCGAAGGATTATTGAATTCTTTTCTAAACATGGGTGAATTTCGGACCCAATTCGGATATCTCCGTCTGGCACTGACTTTTACATAAAGCGTTACAGAACAACGCAGCGTCGATAAATTGGCGATTTGTGAGGTAACAGCTAATTGCCTCATAGAAAATTACGAATGGAATGTAGCGGTGAAACGATTCGATTAATAAAACGAATACAGTTTAATTAAAAAGGTGTTTTGGTCGGACTCCAGTTTCGCTAGGTGCAGAACTCTTTGGGTCAGCGGTTTTTTTAAGGTCAACAGCTCACCTTGAAGCGAACGCCAGAACGACGGCGTATACACGTTCACAGAACCCGGGCATCGGGTATATCTAAATTATACATCTATTTGCCGATGATTGTTTAGAAATGGTTTCGTTTCGTAGACAATAAGTGCGTGTAAAAAAAATTGGCAGATAGTAACTGTGATACAGAACAGTTATACTTGTTATTAAATAAATAATTACTGCTCTTTAGTAATGAAGCTTTTGTTTCCTGCCTTTGAAAGTTGTATGGACAACTTTCTTTATTTTGTTTACTTCGGGACCCCTTGATACGCACCTATAACTATAAAAAATTGAAGTATAAGAAGTCAAAATTTGCACTATACAGGGTGTTTCAGAAAAACCTCTCGTAAATTCAGGGGGTGATAGTACGACAAAAAATAAGAATTTTTTGTCTTATGAACGGTCTATCTCCTCTTGTTTTTGAGATACAGAGCGACAAAATAAAAATTTTCAAATAGAATTTTTACGAAAATTGCCAAACGATGCGAAATATTTTCATGAAATTTGGTATACCGGGGTTTTTAAGGACGGCCAAATACGCTGGTCTAATTATTTTTTGGATATTTCGTAGAGAGCGCTAATTACACTACATTCCTATTCCATTTTTGGTTCTAATTTTGTTAAGGTTAGGTTTCTTACCATTCAGGCTCCAATTTTTAATGTACAATTTCATTTTCTTAAATATTACGATGAAGAAAATAAGTGACTTTTCTCAAAGTAGGCTTATGTCAAAACTTATTGATGGATGTATCATAAACAACGCATACATTGTCAGTAATATTTTAAACTTCTAATTAACTTTATATCAAAATTTTAGTGATTGTTAGTGACTGACGTTACTAATTACAGTTCTTAAATCTTCTGAAATAATAGAGATATTTGTACTAAATTTGGTGTACGATATATTGAGTCAAGTTTCCATAAAATGTTGTAATATCAAGACTTTTGCGCAACCAGTAGCGAAGTTATGGAAAACTCATTCAACTATTTATAAAAAAAATTAGTTAATAGATTATACTTTATGAAAAAGCCTGCCAATGGGAACAGAACATGCCTCTTACATTTTATCGATATCTGCCTCTGTTTTATGGCAAATCAGATTTTTAATTTAAATAAAAAATAAAGTACACTGAAAAAAAATATTTGGATCAAATGAGCAAAATAGTTTTAAATGGAATAATTTGCGGTAAATGTTACTTTATTCTATTAAAATGTCAAACTATGTGAAATATTTGCTGTAATCTATAATTTTTCTTAGAATTTATATTATTGTAAATACCTATATATAATTTAATTCAAATATTTTATAGTTTTGAAATTTATTATCTCTAACTTTAGCTACAATATCTCTTACAGTTCATCATATACTGCAAACATATTTGTTTCAAAACTACCAGTTCCTTAAAATATGTATGTATATTTACAATTTAGTATTAATGTGGGAATTATTCAAGACAAATGTAGCATATTATAACCAAACTTATGTTTTCTTGAAAGAAAATTGTAGCAGGTCACAGAATGGCGTAGGTGGGAAGTAGTACGATAGATGGAGCCACTTACGCTCTGTGTATACACTACTCCTTGTGAGTAACGACACTAAAGCAGCTGGATCGTTCTAAAGACATAATTATGAGGACCATTAATAAGTCCCAAACCAAAAACCGACCTATATCTGGTTGGTGAAACTTACAAATGATCCTAGCTGTTGTACTAGGTGTTGTCAGTTTGAAACAAAATATTTTTTATTACTAAGAAATATTTGTGGTGTGTGGTGGTAAAAAAATTTTTGAGAATTCTAAAAAACATGGATTTAATGATTCTCTTAAAGTTCTTGTAATAATCAAATAATAATATTATTGATTCGAAGGATGCTACTTTATTTTGTATTTAAATTAGTTGAAACTAGCCGAAATATTTCCAACAGGAATTTAAAAAATCCATTAGCGCACAGTATCTGGGTAATTTAAAAGGAAAAAGAGAAATCCAATTTGCCGTAAAACGGAGACGGATATCGACAACATGTAAGAGGTATTTTTTGTTTCCATAGCATGCTTTTTCAGAAAATATAATCAATTAATATCTTGCACAGGATCGTACTATTTTTTTTTTATAAAATAGTCGAATAAGTTTCCCATATCTCCGCAACCGGTAGCGCAAAGGTCTTGATATTATTGTATTTTATGGAAACTTGATCCAAAATTACGTACACCAAATTTAGTTCAAATATTTCTATTGTTTCAGAAGATATTTACAGTAAATTATTATTTTTAACTATTAACACCCTGTATCTCGAAAACGGCTGAGATTTTGAAATAAGTATAATATAATATAATAAGAATATAAAGAAACATTTTTGGAACCCCTGTCTCCATTGATAGCTCGGCTGTCTCAGTTCACAAATTTTGCATAGGAATAAATAGATTTACGAGACAATTTTGCAAATTTAGAACTTTTTCATTCACTGATCATATATTTTTTTATTAACACCATGAAACTAAAAAAACGCAGACAGGTTCAAAATTTCTTCTTCTTATTCTTGTATCTGTTCATCAGTAATAGTAAATATCTATACTTTTATACGTTTGGGTTATTGTCTCATAATAGGGTCTTGAAAGAAAAGTATTTCCCTAGGGTTGTTTCTGCAAACTTGATATACTCAGACAGATACACAAAGAAAACGTCTCCGTAGAATAGTGGCCACTTTGATTCAGAGTACAATACAGTCATATGTTAACTTGCGTATTTCTGTTTTATTTTTGAATTTGCTTGAATTAGCTTGATATTACTTTTAGAATAAGATAAAAATTATAAAAACAAATTTAATAAATAAGGCAAATGTTGGGTAACCACACTCAACACGTTTCACAGTTTTTGCATGCAGTAATTTTTTTCTAAAATAAAAATAAAAATTGACCTGTTTCAGAATTTTTGTCCAGTCACAATAAATAGATCTCAACTATTTCTGCGTGTTGACGATTGCTTTTTCAAGTACCCGCTTTGTCTGTAGAATTAATAAATATTAACGTAACAAAGTCATATGAAAAACTCTTAGAAAAAATTAAAATTAAAAAGTTTCTTATTATAATCAATTCCTCTATCGTCCCAATAAATTTGGCGCAATAGAACCGAGACATCCGGTATATTAAACGCACGTTTAAAATAAAACAGCTTCTATTCCTCTTGCGTAACCAAAGCTGCCGTAAAGTGAACATTTTGAAAATCCTCTAAGTTCGCTGCGATGGAGACGTCGCAGAATTATTAAGTCAAATATCCTCGCCCGGATGTCTTTTGAATATTCCTGAAGGACCTTCAAAGGGCATGTGAAATTTCAGAGCATGTCTGCCAAGATTTAGCATCACAAAGGTGATGCTTTCTTTATCTGATAACTTTTGATCTTATACGCGTACTGATTTTAGCAGTTTTCTTCAGATATTTATAGATATATGTGTATACAGAGTCAGTTTAAATTTTTCTTTTCCGTAATAGTCCAGTCGAAATAGAACCTAAACCCTGAAAACTTAAAAAAATTATTAGTAGATATTTTGTTGCACTTTATGAAGTGTATGTAGAATGATAATATCAAAAAACTAACTCGAAAGAAGTGACACTAAGAGGCAAAATTACGTGTTTTTACTGCTCAGGAAAATCTAGACGACCTATCGGAATATTCGTTATTTTGTGTTGGACAAAACAGCGTTACAAATAAATTGTCCCAAGGTCAGGAAAAAACCGCTCGAGAATTCGCTCTTTTTGCATTAAATAGAGCTTATATTTACGATAATTTAAGAAAAATTTAAAAATGAATGAACAAGTGCTTTTGTTTGCTTGCCTACTTGATTTTAAGAATTGAATTTTTACTTTATGCCTTTTTACCTTAAAACACATTTAAACATTTTAATGCTTTCATCTCGGCAATAACTGTATGTAATTAACAGTAGAACAGGAACAAATTATAGTGGCTGCAATTTGATATAAACGATATAGTATATAGGTAGCCTATATTGTTTTAACAATAAGACATTATTCGATTAATTGTTTTTGTAAATCCATATTATTTTTTACTGAAACATTTTAATGAAAATATGTACAGATGCATTTTTTGCAGGGAAATGAAGGTGCAATTTTTTTTTAATTGTTCTGTGACTACTATCTTTTATGAATTTCATCACATCCTGTATCTCTGTAAAAAGGTATTTTTAAGCAAACGTTTTGAACGTTAACTTCCAAAAACTTGTGATTTACTCTTACAAATCAAGTCTTTTGGAAATAAAATGATTAAATAAATTATACACAAAAAATATCCCGTAAAACTAAACAATGGCGTGTATGTTTCAAGTGGCCGCTCTGTATATTAATAAAATATTTTATGCAACTGGTCTGGCTGTCTGCCTCGTGTGTTGACATTTTGAAAAGGTTGGCACATCGCTATTTCTTTAATTTAAATTAATACGATTTCTACATACGGAAACATGAAAAAATTATATTTATTTTCCTTATCTCGTAGTTACAGTAGCCGATACAAAGGATTCTTTGTTACTTTTTATGAGATTTTTCACAATATTGTTTAAAAAAAAAACACGATAAATACCTAAATATGCAAGCGACGATGGTTGATGTTTCATTCTCTTTTCAGATTTTGAAAAACGGTGAAAGCTCACAGGACAAGAGGTGTTAGGCACCTCAAAAATTGGTGAGTAACTTTTGAAGTATCTACATATAACTGTTAAGATAAATGTATATTATTTATTAAATGTAAAAAAAATAACGTGTATTAATTACAGATGGTTTCATAATATGTATGTATTTTAAAATTTATGCAAGAATTTTATTTTACTAAGCCTGTCTGTTAAATCATAATAGTCTCTCTTTGAAATAAAATACTTGGCCAGCAAAAAACAAATACAGTATATAACAACAACCTTTTGTTATTATTTACATTTATACTGTTATTAACGTCATAATCATTTAGTGTTTGTAAGAAAACTAAAATATAAAGTAGTACTTCATTTTTTCTCCGTTATTTCTGATATTTTCAAAGAAAACATTTTAGATAAATTTGTAGTAGCGTTTATATCTTTCGTAGTTCTTTGAGAATTGATGTATATTTAAGATAATACAAGACATATGTATAAAGTCGTTTATTTCGTGTATAGTTTCTAGAAATCTAACATAGATTCATTATTCTTGAAGCTTGGTTCTAAAATCGTTTGTAATAGCGTTTATATTTTTCGTTTTTCGTCGTTCTTTGAGAATTGATGTATATTCAATATAATCCAAGACAGACGTATAATATCGTTTGTAGTAGCGTTTATTTCGTCTACGGCTTCTAGAAATCTAACGCTTCTAACGCAGATTCATTATTCGTCAAGCTCTGGCTCTAAAATCGTGTGTAGTAGCGTTTATTTCGTGTTTAGCTTCTAGAAATCTAACACAAATTCTTAGTTCTTCAAGCCTTGGCTTTAAAATCGTTTGTAGTACCGTTTATATCTTTCTTAGTTCTTTGAGAATTGATTTATATTCAATATAATCTAATACAGATGTATAAAATCGTTTGTAGTCGCGTTTATTTCGTATATGGCTTCTAGAAATCTAACGCTTCTAACGCAGATTCATTATTCGTCAAGCTCTGGCTCTAAAATCGTTTGTAGTAGCGTTTATTTCGTTTGCAATTCCTTGAATTCGGAAGTATAATTAGTATAACCGAATATAGTTGCCTAAAAAATCATTTGCAGTAACTCTTATTTACAAAATATGTTGTCGAAAATCGATCATATTCGCCTACAAATAATTTTAGAGCAAGAGCTTGGGAAATATTGAATCTACTTTAAAATTTGAGGAATTTTTTAAATATTTTCAATAAAGATACCTTCTGGAATAACTTTTCAGAAACTTCAATATAATCCGAGACAGATGTATAAAATCATTTGCAGTAGCGTTTATTTCGTGTATAGCTTCTAGAAATCTAATACATCTAACACAGATTCATTATTCTTCAAGCTTTAGCTCGAAAATCGTTTGTAGTAGCGTTTATATCTTTCGTAGTTCTTTGAGAATTAACGTATATTAAATATAATCCAAGACAAACGTATAAAATCGTTTGCAGTAACGTTTATTTCGTCTACAGCTTCTAGAAATCTAACAGATTCATTATTCTTCAATCACTGGCTTTAAAATCGTTTATAGTAGCGTTTATATATTTCGTAGTTCTTTGAGAATTGACGTATATTCAATAAAATCCAAGACAGATGTATAAAATCGTTTGCAGTAGCGTTTATTTCGTTTGTAGTTCCTTGAAATTTGACGAATAGTCACAATAATTCACACTGGATGTTTATGTTTATAATTCCTTGAATTCGGAAGTATAATCAGTATAACCGAATATAGTTGTCTAAAATCATTTGTAGTAGCCCTTATTTCCAAAATATGTTGTCGAAAATCGATCATATTCTCCTACAAATAATTTTAGAGCAAGAGCTTGGGATATAATGAATCTACTTTAAAATTTGAGAAATTTTTTAAATATTTTCAGTAAAGATACCTTCTGGAATAACTTTTCAGAAACTTACTTAATTATATTGGATTCAACGCTGTAGTCACTTTTTCCGCGAAACAGAGGCGTAGTTTTAAAAGGGTCCAATTAATTTTTAATATGAAAAATACACGAACGACGTGTAAAACCTTGAAATAATTCCATCTCAGTTCTTAACTTCACTTCTCCAACGAAAGATGTGTCGCATTGTGCGTGAATCAGCGTGATGAATGAATATAAATGGTTTTTTATGTTCCGTCTTACTTTGTATGGATTTCGGACGAAGGGATGGATGTATTGTGGCAAAGCCTTCGCCCACAATTCGAAAGAGTCCCGCTAATTCCGTATATCGATACGCAGAGATGTCGTTCAGTTAAATAAAAATAGATTGGCCTTATTGACTGGAATATCAATAAAGGGTCTGGGTTTTGTTTGTACGCAATTGGGAATCCGACGAAAGGCGAGCGTGGGTAATAAGATAAACAATGCTTAAACGGTAAATATTATTGGATCCAATAATAAAATGCTCCAGAATCGACGCGAGGAGTCCGAAGTCTAAGGTCGAAAGCAATGACATTTTTTCAGAATTCAAATTCCTCGATCAACAGAGTGTTTCTGAATTAAAAGCGTTCTTTGAAGAGGGTGATAGGGGGACGAAGATAAGCAACTTAGGTTTAAACAAATTTAAAGCCGACCCTGGTGCGGCAGCCAGCTGTACCTTTGATATCAAAGATGCCGCGCGCCGCAGTGCGAAAGTGCTGATGGCGGTTTTAGCGGTTTAAATTTTGTATTCGAAAATACTGAAATTTATTTAAATCTCTTTAAAAAGTAAATACACCAACGTACAGGCGACTAGAAGGTGGACGAGCATCGCGAACCTTCCCCGGAAGATCTCCCATCCAAGCACAAACCACAATCAGCATAGCTTGACTATTCATATCAATGACATACCGCTAGGTCACCCTCGCCCAAATGAGTAACCTCAAACAATGCAGAAACACTTAAGACAAACAAATAGTCAGAACAAATACCAAATGCAAAAATGTGGAGTAAGAACGGAGAAAGTGACATTGTTATTGTAGCATAACAAAATCGATTTTATTCTGTAATTCAGTATCTGTTATATCTAAATCTACTTTGCAAATATCTCATTTTATTAAAGTAGCCACCTCTCTCTTTCTTGCACCAGAATCCTCAATAATTTCATATTGGTATAGTCTTTCTGATCTCAATTGAAGAACCAAGAGGTTGGGTCGCTGACGCAGCAACTCAGCACTGAAATATTTGACTAGGCAATAAATCTCAGTTGTTGACAAGCGGTTGACGAGCCTAGCAGTGCAGTGCAGCAATGCGGAATTTGGTGTGATTCAGGTAATTTTAATTTATTATAGGCACCTTGTATTAATCATTCATATTACAATTGCGAAAGGGAGAAATAAGAGGGATATTTCGTTTTTTGGAGACCTTTTGAAACGTAACAAAACGATATTTACCATCAATCAAATTGTTTGAGGACATAAATAATTAAAATATGCTGTTGGCCAAATGAACATTATAATATAAATTTTCAACACATTATATACAAATTATTCTCATTAAATTTTATTGCTAGGCGTTTTTATACATGTTCGGACTTCGGAAAGACTATACTACAGTGTAGATGTTCAATTTTTTTCACAAATAATTTTTGTGCTTTTTCCAATACTGCTATCGCTTAGTTGACAATCCTACCCGCAAAACTGTGAACGTGCAAGTACTCTGACTACTACAGCATAATTTTTTTTTTTCGAGAAATAAATCGACACGAGTTTTTTTATCGCTTGTTCATGCAAGGTCGTTCGAAATTGTTGCATTACCCAACGATAAATAAATGCCAGTGAAAAATGTCGATGGGGATTAATTCACACCTACCGGAAACGTAATTTTTTGTAGAGAAACATAACTAGCACTACTGCAAGTAATTACTTGCTGGTTACTGTTACGAGGGACGCTGGAAAAGTTGACAGTCCATGCAAATGAAACACAGATGAGTATATTTGGTGATTGTCTTCTAACAACAAAGATATGCATGTTTGTACATGCATATGTTTGTTCGGACATCCTGTATAATTTGTATTATACAGGGTGTCCGAACATTTCGTGTACATGAGGCTAATGCTACACCACCTGTGATTTTTTTATTTGGGGTGGGGGTGCGTTGAAACAGAAAGTGTACTCTTTGAATCTCGACATAACATGATTTCGAATTCCCCTCGTATCGAACATTTTCATACACAATTTTTCCCGTGTGTTATATTTAATTATGCTTAACTGGGATCAATCCCGGGTTTAATTACACCGATTTCACGGGTTCTCGGCCGAGTTTTTGTGATACGCAATTGAATTAAGATTAACACGCGCGTAAATTAACAAAAAAAGACCTTGTTTCCTTTTTACTTCGACACCGACTGCCTAATTCGCTTGCGGAAAATCGACTTCCCGTCGTTCGTCGCGCGAAAAACATGTGCCGACCCATTTGCCTGACCTACATCATAATTTGCAAAAGCTCGGTACATTCATTCTCATTAAAAATTCTTTTTTAAGTTTTATCAATTCGACAAGCAGAAGAGTCTAAAGGTCGTACTATGGGATATGCGATGGTTTCTTTCTTCATAGCGTGTTGGATTTTGAAATTTCCTTATTGGCAACCTCGGTTTAGCCTCGGCATTAAAACAAAATCATAACTAAGACATTTATACTTGTAAGTGTTCTAATAGAATATTATTTAGAGGTAATTTGGAGGTTATACTCCAATAGGAGTCAATGACTCATGCTTAACATGTAGATCAGCGCAAGAGTAAAGGGCGCGGGATATGCGTTTCCATGGGCGTATCATTTTAGAAGGTACCAAAAATAATATAAATATAGAACAATTAATGAATAGATATGACAATTTTAGTAAAACTTTCATTTTGAGGTTGGTTTTTAAAATGTACGTTTACCTTGGTATCACTATCACTATCACTATGCTGTCACTAACTCCGCCACTGCTGTCACCATAAAATGGTAAAAATAGCCTTATAATCACATCTGCAAAGTTTATTTGCATGGAAAACCCGAAAGAAGTATCAATATTCGTCTGAACGCACACAGCTCTCTCTAATCGGTATGACGTCACAATG